GTGTGTGTGTGTGTGTGTGTGTGTGTGTGTGATAACGATTTGAAAACTTTGACGAAACCCTAATTTTATTACCCAACAGTGTAATAAATGACCTGATATTAACTAGTTTTCTTCCTCAAACAGTAAGATGATATCCGAACCTTTCCGTTAACCGGTTTGCCTATAAATGACCTCTTCTGCGTTGTCCCCCAGTGGAAGATCTTGAGATGAACGACGGGTCAGTGCAGAAGCCGTACTTCATGAGCAAGGGTCTGATGAAGGTTCTGGGCAAGAAGAATGACAAGATGGTGGACCCCAAGAACTCGGAGCCCAATGGCGCCAAAGGCAAGAAAGCCTCCGCCAAGGTCACGCCTGACAAGAAAGGACGCCCCTTGCCAGAACCAGAAGGGAAGGGGAAGAAAGGGAAATGGTCTTAAGATAATGAGCGTGGCACCACAACTTTGGGAACGGAAGACTTGTTTTGTGGATTCTTTTACACTGGGATGATATAAACTGTTATGACAGCATAATAAGATGAAGTCAAGATGATGTTTCCTTTTTTGCATTTAATATACTGAGGAAAATGCAAATAGATCAGATGAAATGTACGCTCCTCAACGATAAATAGTTCTTGTTTAACATGAAATGATACGTGAGACTTAGTTCGATGCTCATAAAAAGGTAAAAATTAAAAAGAAAACTGATAGGAAGCTGAGTATAAAGTACTGTCCAATTCTGACTTTAGAAAATATTTTTAGCTTTTGTTGGACTGCAAAAACAAATGAAATGAATTCCATTACATGACTTACGTGGTAAGATGGATCTTTGAACGCATTTATAAAATTTGTTCAGATGAGCACCTAAAGATATCCTGTAGGTTACAATAGCCAAATAGATGCTCTGTGTAGATCAGCATGAATTAGCCTGGAAGCTACAATATATGGTTTTGTGTTGTCTCATTGTGAATAACTATTATTAATTGAACTAAAAGGGGAAAAATGACTCGCTAAATGCATTTACCCCACATAAAAGAAACAAAAAAAGTGATTCGACACAGTTGTGCCTATTCCCATTTAAATGTTTATGGTAAAGAATCAACGATGTTTCTTGTATGTAGTTGTTGTTTTCTGTGATTTGCATTTCGTGTTGTTTGAGTGCTCAACTGATACAAAACTGGTGATAATCTTTCTGAGATGCTCAAAAGTTTTAACTCTTGTAATCTTAATGATCCCACAAGTGATACTGGTACTTTAATTTTCTTTTTACACAAATATGTTGTTTGAGATTATGTTTGGCGCCCATTTCATCTTAGACTGGGTATTTTATAACCATTATATCCTTCCTTGTCAATCTCTCTCTCTCACTCTCTCTCTCTCTCTCTCTCTCTCTCTCTCTCTCTCTCTCTCTCTCTATCTCAGTCTGTTTATATGTATCTAAGCTAATTTGTGCAGGCTTTGTGGTTGGAGAATTGTTATGTACAACTTCAAGACAATGTTATAGAAACAGGTCACATATGCACGCTGGAAGGATGGGAAAGCATACACAGCTGAATAGACTCGTTGAACAAAGCACATTGATGTGGGCGATATCTACAAAACCTGTTCATCTGTTAAAGAATTTATGTTTGCTTTTTTGGGGTAATTTACTTGCAAAAGGACTGAAACTAAACAAGAGCTCCAGTGCCTGTCATTGAATTACAGATACATACGATTAGATGTTTTTGATATTTACTTTGTATAGTCTGTGGCATTAAAGATTACTTTTTTTTCTTTTTGAACGCAATGTGTAATGTACAAGTAACTCTCTAGCTTACAGTATTTTAGTCTAGCCTTTTCATTTGCGGACCTTGAACTAGTCGTCCTGTTGAAATGCAATATCTCCATTAGCATAATGACTAATTTATGTTTTGACTCACCTAGCCAGTAATAATTTGATTAAACGTTTTGTATTCTTTTCATTGCTGCATTCCTGCCAATGAACTAAAATGCAAATTCAATTCTTATTACCTTCTATCGTAATACTGCATTTAACACTTCAACAATGTTGTGGGCTTATTTGCTTTTTTTCTACATTTTGTTCTTTATCCTTACATAACTCGGTGTATTCTCTTCTCCTTTTATTTTAGACTGGATCACACTAAATGAACGGGTTGTCCTTTAATAAGGTTACATTAGCATGAAAGCAATACAAAACAACCGAAAACAACAACAAGCAAACACACTACCTAATTATGCAGATCCATTTACTTAATGTTTATTCTGTTGACGTTGTTACTGTTTGCACTTTGCTGTGGGGCATTCCCAATTACTCTGCCTTAAATGTTTTAAAAGTGCATATATTTGTGCAGATCTGATATATATATATAT